ACGCCGAGCTGGCGTCGCGCCATCTGTCGCAGCTGCTCTTTGTGGCCCTCACATGCGGGCTCGCCATGACCGCCCTCTCCCTCCGATTCGTGCCGCACGCCATCGCAGGTAGGCGCTTTCCACTGCAGGTAAAAGCATGCCATCGCAAAGAGAAAGGGTGGAAAGGAGTCGGGAGAGGAGAGGGTGGAGGAGCGGGGCGAGGCGAGAAAGGGTAAGATGAGAGGAGGAGGCGTTGAAGGAGCAGTACAGCAGAGGCGGTGTTGAATGGCCGTCTTTTCAAGCACGGATACCAGAGTGGATATACTCAGACTATGTGTTATCAACCAACCAAGTTCGGTGAAATAAGACTAAGAATTATTTAAATACAGGCCAATTGTTGTATGTCAAGTTTTTTTATCGCTGATGTGGGTGGTACTTCTTTCAGTGAGTGTGCGCGTTTCCATTCTTATGCCGCAAGTAAGCTGCGATTTGTTTCAGGGGAAATTTGGATAGACTCATAATACACCCAGATAAAACTGGGCTGTGGATTTTCCTTTCCTCCTTTTCCTGCTCGCCTCTTCATATGCCTATGCATGAATGTGTGCGTGCATGTATGTGCATGTGCATGTATGCGCATGTGTGCGTGCATGTGTGTGTGCACGGGTGTGTGCATGTGTGTGCATGAGTGTGCATGTGCATTTGCATGTGTGCGCATGTGTATTTGCATGTGTGTGCATGTGTGTTTGCATGTGTGTGCATGTGTGTTTGCATCTGTATGTGCATGTGTGTTTGCATCTGTATGTGCATGTGTGTTTGCATCTGTATGTGCATGTGTGTTTGCATCTGTATGTGCATGTGTGTTTGCATTTGTATGTGCATGTGTGTGTTCCAATGTCACGACTGCATGTCTGTATGTGCGCCCATCCCATACCAGCGTTTGTGGGCAGCAACACCGCCATCATCCCAGCAGCATGTGTCTATGCCAAGGTAAGGGAGGGAGGGAAGTCTCTCAACCACTGCTCGGTACCTGCCTGACTGGATTGCTCATGAGTGAAAGATGACGATCCCTGGCATTCAGAACGTGGTAGATGACATGATCGCACATGAGGGTACGCATGAGGGTGCACAGCACATGAGGGTGCACATGAGGGTGCACATGAGGGTACACATGAGGGTCCACATGAGGGTGCACATGAGGGTACACATGAGGGTACACATGAGGGTGCACATGAGGGTGCACATGAGGATGCGCATGAGGGTACACATGAGGGTACACATGAGGGTGCACATGAGGGTGCACATGAGGGTACACATGAGGGTACACATGAGGGTACACATGAGGGTGCACATGAGGGTGCACATGAGGGTGCACATGAGGGTACACATGAGGGTGCACATGAGGGTGCACATGAGGGTACACATGAGGGTACACATGAGGGTGCACATGAGGGTGCACATGAGGATGCGCATGAGGGTACACATGAGGGTACACATGAGGGTGCACATGAGGGTGCACATGAGGGTACACATGAGGGTACACATGAGGGTACACATGAGGGTGCACATGAGGGTGCACATGAGGGTGCACATGAGGGTGCACATGAGGGTGCACATGAGGGTGCACATGAGGGTACACATGAGGGTGCACATGAGGATGCGCATGAGGGTGCACATGAGGGTGCACATGAGGGTCCACATGAGGGTACACATGAGGGTGCACATGAGGGTGCACATGAGGGTGCACATGAGGGTGCACATGAGGGTGCACATGAGGGTCCACATGAGGGTACACATGAGGGTGCACATGAGGGTGCACATGAGGGTGCACATGAGGGTGCACATGAGGGTGCACATGAGGGTCCACATGAGGGTACACATGAGGGTGCACATGAGGGTACACATGAGGGTGCACATGAGGGTGCACATGAGGGTGCACATGAGGGTGCACATGAGGGTGCACATGAGGGTCCACATGAGGGTACACATGAGGGGTGGCACATGAGGGTGCACATGAGGGTGCACATGAGGGTACACATGAGGGTGCACATGAGGGTGCACATGAGGGTGCACATGAGGGTGCACATGAGGGTCACATAGGGTGCACATGAGGTGCACATGAGGGTACACATGAGGATGCACATGAGGGTCCACATGAGGGTACACATGAGGGTGCACATGAGGGTCCACATGAGGGTACACATGAGGGTACACATGAGGGTGCACATGAGGGTGCACATGAGGGTGCACATGAGGGTGCACATGAGGGTGCACATGAGGGTGCACATGAGGGTACACATGAGGGTGCACATGAGGGTGCACATGAGGGTGCACATGAGGGTGCACATGAGGGTACACATGAGGGTGCACATGGGGTGCGCATGAGGGTGCACATGAGGGTGCACATGAGGGTGCACATGAGGGTGCACATGAGGGTGCACATGAGGGTGCACATGAGGGTGCACATGAGGGTGCACATGAGGGTGCACATGAGCGTGCACATGAGGGTGCACATGAGGGTGCACATGAGGGTGCACATGAGGGTACACATGAGGGTGCACATGAGGGTGCACATGAGGGTACACATGAGGGTCCACATGAGGGTGCACATGAGGGTACACATGAGGGTGCACATGAGGGTCCACATGAGGGTACACATGAGGGTGCACCTGAGGGTACACATGAGGGTACACATGAGGGTGCACATGAGGGTGCACATGAGGGTGCACATGAGGATGCGCATGAGGGTGCGCATGAGGGTGCACATGAGGGTGCACATGAGGGTGCACATGAGGGTACACATGAGGGTGCACATGAGGGTGCACATGAGGGTACACATGAGGGTACACATGAGGGTGCACATGAGGGTGCACATGAGGATGCGCATGAGGGTACACATGAGGGTACACATGAGGGTGCACATGAGGGTGCACATGAGGGTACACATGAGGGTACACATGAGGGTACACATGAGGGTGCACATGAGGGTGCACATGAGGGTGCACATGAGGGTGCACATGAGGGTGCACATGAGGGTGCACATGAGGGTACACATGAGGGTGCACATGAGGATGCGCATGAGGGTGCACATGAGGGTGCACATGAGGGTGCACATGAGGGTGCACATGAGGGTACACATGAGGGTACACATGAGGGTGCACATGAGGATGCGCATGAGGGTGCACATGAGGGTGCACATGAGGGTGCACATGAGGGTCCACATGAGGGTACACATGAGGGTGCACATGAGGGTGCACATGAGGGTGCACATGAGGGTGCACATGAGGGTGCACATGAGGGTCCACATGAGGGTACACATGAGGGTGCACATGAGGGTACACATGAGGGTACACATGAGGGTGCACATGAGGGTGCACATGAGGGTGCACATGAGGGTGCACATGAGGGTGCACATGAGGGTCCACATGAGGGTACACATGAGGGTGCACATGAGGGTCCAATGAGGTAACATGAGGTACAATGAGGGTGCACATGAGGGTGCACATGAGGGTGCACATGAGGGTGCACATGAGGGTCCACATGAGGATGCGCATGAGGGTCCACATGAGGGTACACATGAGGGTGCACATGAGGGTCCACATGAGGGTACACATGAGGGTACACATGAGGGTGCACATGAGGGTGCACATGAGGGTGCACATGAGGGTGCACATGAGGGTCCACATGAGGGTACACATGAGGGTGCACATGAGGGTACACATGAGGGTACACATGAGGATGCGCATGAGGGTGCACATGAGGGTCCACATGAGGGTACACATGAGGGTGCACATGAGGGTCCACATGAGGGTACACATGAGGGTACACATGAGGGTGCACATGAGGGTGCACATGAGGGTGCACATGAGGGTGCACATGAGGGTGCACATGAGGGTCCACATGAGGGTACACATGAGGGTGCACATGAGGGTACACATGAGGGTACACATGAGGATGCGCATGAGGGTGCACATGAGGGTCCACATGAGGGTACACATGAGGGTGCACATGAGGGTCCACATGAGGGTACACATGAGGGTACACATGAGGGTGCACATGAGGGTGCACATGAGGGTGCACATGAGGGTGCACATGAGGGTGCACATGAGGGTCCACATGAGGGTACACATGAGGGTGCACATGAGGGTGCACATGAGGATGCGCATGAGGGTGCACATGAGGGTGCACATGAGGGTGCACATGAGGGTGCACATGAGGGTACACATGAGGGTCCACATGAGGGTGCACATGAGGGTACACATGAGGGTGCACATGAGGATGCGCATGAGGGTGCACATGAGGGTACACATGAGGGTGCACATGAGGGTGCACATGAGGGTACACATGAGGGTACACATGAGGGTGCACATGAGGATGCACATGAGGATGCACATGAGGGTGCACATGAGGGTGCACATGAGGGTCACATGAGGGTCACATGAGGGTACACATGAGGGTACACATGAGGGTACACATGAGGGTGCACATGAGGGTACACATGAGGGTACACATGAGGGTGCACATGAGGGTACACATGAGGGTACACATGAGGATGCGCATGAGGGTGCACATGAGGGTCCACATGAGGGTACACATGAGGGTGCACATGAGGGTGCACATGAGGGTACACATGAGGGTACACATGAGGGTGCACATGAGGATGCGCATGAGGGTGCACATGAGGGTGCACATGAGGGTGCACATGAGGGTCCACATGAGGGTACACATGAGGGTGCACATGAGGGTGCACATGAGGGTACACATGAGGGTGCACATGAGGGTACACATGAGGGTACACATGAGGATGCGCATGAGGGTGCACATGAGGGTCCACATGAGGGTACACATGAGGGTGCACATGAGGGTCCACATGAGGGTACACATGAGGGTACACATGAGGGTGCACATGAGGGTGCACATGAGGGTGCACATGAGGGTGCACATGAGGGTGCACATGAGGGTCCACATGAGGGTACACATGAGGGTGCACATGAGGGTACACATGAGGGTACACATGAGGATGCGCATGAGGGTGCACATGAGGGTCCACATGAGGGTACACATGAGGGTGCACATGAGGGTCCACATGAGGGTACACATGAGGGTACACATGAGGGTGCACATGAGGGTGCACATGAGGGTTGCACATGAGGGTGCACATGAGGGTGCACATGAGGGGTCCACATGAGGGTACACATGAGGGGTGCACATGAGGGTACACATTCATGAGGGTACACATGAGGGTGCACATGAGGGTGCACATGAGGATGCGCATGAGGGGTGCGCGCATGAGTGGGTGCACATGAGGGTGCACATGAGGGTGCACATGGAGGGTACACATGAGGGTGCACATGAGGGTGCACATGAGGGTACACCATGAGGGTACACATGAGGGTGCACATGAGGGTGCACCATGAGGATGCGCATGAGGGTCAACACATGAGGGTACACATGAGGGTCACATGAGGGTGCACATGAGGGTACACATGAGGGTACACATGAGGGTACACATGAGGGTGCACATGAGGGTGCACATGAGGGTGCACATGAGGGTGCACATGAGGGTGCACATGAGGGTGCACATGAGGGTACACATGAGGGTGCACATGAGGGATGCGCCATTGAGGGGTGCACATGAGGGTGCACATGAGGGTGCACATGAGGGTGCACATGAGGGTACACATGAGGGTGCACATGAGGGTGCACATGAGGGTGCACATGAGGGTGCACATGAGGGTGCACATGAGGGTGCACATGAGGGTGCACATGAGGATGCGCATGAGGGTACACATGAGGGTACACATGAGGGTGCACATGAGGGTGCACATGAGGGTACACATGAGGGTACACATGAGGATGCGCATGAGGGTCCACATGAGGGTACACATGAGGGTGCACATGAGGGTCCACATGAGGGTACACATGAGGGTACACATGAGGGTGCACATGAGGGTGCACATGAGGGTGCACATGAGGGTGCACATGAGGGTGCACATGAGGGTCCACATGAGGGTACACATGAGGGTGCACATGAGGGTACACATGAGGGTACACATGAGGATGCGCATGAGGGTGCACATGAGGGTCCACATGAGGGTACACATGAGGGTGCACATGAGGGTCCACATGAGGGTACACATGAGGGTACACATGAGGGTGCACATGAGGGTGCACATGAGGGTGCACATGAGGGTGCACATGAGGGTGCACATGAGGGTCCACATGAGGGTACACATGAGGGTGCACATGAGGGTACACATGAGGGTACACATGAGGATGCGCATGAGGGTGCACATGAGGGTCCACATGAGGGTGCACATGAGGGTACACATGAGGGTGCACATGAGGATGCGCATGAGGGTGCACATGAGGGTACACATGAGGGTGCACATGAGGATGCGCATGAGGGTGCACATGATGGTGCACATGAGGATATACACGAAGGGAGGGGAGAGGAGAGGCTTGAGCGCAGGGGAGGGAGGCAGGTCAGGGAGGAGTTCCTCGGGGAGGAGTTCCTCGGGAAGGAGTTCCTCGGGAAGGAGTTCCTCGGGAAGGAGTTCCTCGGGAAGGAGTTCCTCGGGAAGGAGTTCCTCTGCCTGGCTAGATTGGAGGAATCAAGAATTTATAATTCTAAGAAATGTCTTCTTCCCAATAATAAGTCGCCTTTTTCCACTCGGTTCCTCATCCCTGCCCTCTTCACCGCACACTCTCGTCGACCCATCACCCCCAAGCTCACTCCCTTTCCTCTCTCCCTGCTCCTCACTTCCGTGTGTCAGATCCGTGCCTTCGCATGGCCGGCTGTTCTTGTCACATCTGTGGCTCAGAGTGCGAGGTGAGTGAGAGAGAGGGACTGCATGATTAGTAGAACCGAGGGTGGAAGATTGGTAGAAGGGAGAGCGCCGAATTAGGAGCATATGTGGATCCTCGTGCTTTCTCTTCACCTCACCCTCTCCCCTCCCTCCCCTCCCTCCCCTCCCCTCCCACCCCACGACCAGCCTTGGGCTGCAGGACGTGTGGGGCCCGGTGCGGTGTCTGGCGGTGGCCAGTACGGTGAACCTGGGGGGCGACCTGCTGCTGTGCCCGCTGCTGGGCTACGGCATCGCAGGGGCTGCCTGGGCCACCATGGCCTCGCAGGTGCTCTGCTTGCTTGGGCCACCCCATGGCCTCCCAGGTGCTCTGCTTGCTTGGGCCACCCCATGGCCTCGCAGGTGCTCTGCTTGCTTGGGCCATCCCATGGCCTCCCTCCCAGGTGGGCTGCAGCACTGGCCCACACAGGATCGTGAATGGACCTGAGACCAACGCAACGCACCTGTACTTGACCGGGGTAACCATTATGGCAAATGCTTTGCGCGGCAACAGTTCCTGAGAAGCTTGAGGATGGAGTGGTGGGCCATGAGGAATGTGGTTTGGGAAGTGTGGCATGAGGCGTGAGGCTCTCAAGCACTGTGGGATTCTGTGGGGAGTGGTAGTTCTAATAGTTCAGCTTTTTAGGCGCGTCAGAAATAGACTCCTCATCAGTGGTATTATCTGGGGAGTGGTAGTTAATATGGATCAGTGCAGGGATCAGACAGACGTTTGAGTCGACTCAAAAGTCAGCTGGAGAGTGGCAGGAGGCGTGAGGCTCTGAAGTGCTGTGGGATTCTGTGGGGAGGAGTAGTTCAGATAGTTCAGTGTGCAGGGACCATAAAGCAGCACTGCATTAAATTAAACTGGCTGGGACAGTCCAACTGGGGACCGGGACTTGCATTCGATGACAGGGACTACTCGCTGCTCGTTGCTCGCTGCTTGCGGCTTGCTGCTCGCCGTCATGGCTCCAGTCTACCATAATTGCCCTCTCTCCCTCATGACTGCGCTCTCTCCAATCCCCACCCCACCCCACTCTCCTCATTTCCCACTTCTCTCGCCCGCACACCCCAACATTCTCACTCCACTCTTTGAGAAGTCTCCCCGGACCTGCCAGTATGTGGCAGCTCCAACCATTTTCTAGGCGCCGTAAGATAGCCTCTCAATTATCCCCCGCACCCCCCCTCGCCAGGACATGGCGACGCTCCTCATTTGTTCTGTTTTTTAGAATTCTCAAAGCCCGTACGTGGGGGAGCTCCTCATACAGCGCTCTCTGCACGCCTCCGGTCGCATCCCGCTCGTTTCTTAGTCGACTCAAGAGCTAGTTTCCCCTGTCCTCCCCCCTCACCACCAGTACGTGGGGGCGCTTCTCATGCTGCGCTCGCTGCACACCTTGGGTCGCATCCGCCTCGCCATCTCGCCGCCGCCCCTGCCCGCGCTGCTCAACTTCCTCTCCCTCACCGGCCCCATCTTCGTCTCCCTCGCCTCCAAGGTGAGCGGTATGAGTTCCTTTCTATTAGAACCCTCGAAAACCAACTCGGCCCCAAGGTCAGCAGCATGAATTGGTTTCTGATTTAAAAAAAAAAAAAAAAAAAAAAAAAAAAGCCAACTCGCCTTGACGGTCAGTGCCTCCAGGTTCATGCGTCTACCACCTGTTATATAATCCGCGTGATAGAAGGCTAGATTTAGGGGCGCCTTAAAGCCAGACTAGAGCTCACCTTCCTCTCCTCTCCCTCACCAGCCTCATCTTCATGTCCCTTGCCTCCACGGTCCACGCCTCCTCTGCCTCACACATGCTAATTTCTAGGCGCTCCGCCTCACAAATGCTATTTTTGAGGCGCCCAAAAGAAGAGCGCAGGCTAATTATGACGCCTCCAATTTTAACGCGTCTACCACCTCATACACTCTCCCACTCCACCTCTGCTTTTAAATCCCAATTGGAAAGAAGGATGTGAGGCAGAAGGGCAGGGCTGCTCCTTATATAGTCCCTTCCGTCCGTCCGTCCGTCTGTCCGTCCGTCCGTCCGTCCGTCCGTCCGTCTGCCCGTCCGTCCATCCGTCCGTCTGTCCGTCCATGTGCCAGCGTGCTTTCTGAGCAATGAGCTTTGAGCAATGAGCTTTGAGCAATGAGCATTGAGCAATGAGCTTTGAGCAATGAGCTATGAGCAATGAGCTTTGAGCAATGAGCTTTGAGCAATGAGCTTTGCGCAATGAGCTTTGAGCAATGAGCTTTGAGCAATGAGCTTTGAGCAATGATCTTTGGGCAATGAGCTTCGGGCAATGAGCTTCGGGCAATGAGCTTCGGGCAAAGCTCATTGCTCAAAGCTCATTGCCCGATGAGCTTTGAGCAATGAGCTTTGGGCGATGAGCTTTGAGCAATGAGCTTTGGGCAATGAGCTTTGGGCAATGAGCTTTGAGCAATGAGCTTTGAGCAATGAGCTTTGAGCAATGAGCTTTGAGCAATGAGCTTTGAGCAATGAGCTTTGGGCAATGAGCTTTGAGCAATGAGCTTTGGGCAATGAGCTTTGGGCAATGAGCTCTGGGCAATGAGCTTTGGGCAATGAGCTTTGGGCAATGAGCTTTGGGCAATGAGCTTTGGGCAATGAGCTTTGGGCAATGAGCTTTGAGCAATGAGCTTCGGGCAATGAGCTTTGGGCAATGAGCTTTGGGCAATGAGCTTTGGGCAATGAGCTTTGGACAATGAGCTTTGGGCAATGAGCTTTGGGCAATGAGCTTTGGGCAATGAGCTTTGGGCAATGAGCTTTGGGCAATGAGCTTGGGGCAATGAGCTTTGGGCAATGAGCCTTCATGCATCGGCCCCACGATATGCAGCCCATGCCATCTCCCCGCCCGCCTCCAAGCGTCGGCCAACGTTTCACTCTTGAGCATCACATGGCTTCACCTCCTCTCTTGGCTCTACCCCCCTCCCCCCCTACCCCCTCTCCCGCAACCCCTCTACTTCCCCCTTTCTCCCCATCTCCCCTCCCCATCCTTCCGGTCAAGTGACCTTCTCCACGCTCCTGACTTTCCAAGGCACGCCAAGGATCGTCACCCATGGAAAAAGAGCTGCAGGATAGAACTTCTGTTTGGAGAAAGATCAAGCCTTGTAGTAATGCTGGTACTGATTTTTTACTGCTTTCCCATCTGCCTCCCCATGTGTCCCCTCCCCATGTGTCCCCTCCCCATCTGTCCCCTCCCCATGTGTCCCCCCAGGTGTCCTTCTACATGCTGCTGACCTTCCAGGCCACCTCGCTGGGAACTCTTCCTCTCGCAGCGCATCAGGTCACCTCCTCCTCCCACTCCCTAGTCCATTCCCCACCCCCCCTTCCTTCTCCCCACCCCCCTCCTTCTCCCCACCCTCCCCACATTCCCCAACCCCCCTCCTTCTCCCCACCCTCCCCACATTCCCCACCCCCCCTCCTTCTCCCCACCCTCCCCACATTCCCCACCCCCCTTCCTTCTCCCCACCCTCGAATGGTCCCTTGTATTAGATAGCAGGGGGTACAGTCTACAGTTTGCTGGGTATTTTTGAGATTTCTCAAAAATACGGTACAGTCTACAGACATGGCAAGGAAGGAGCGTGTACAACGAACACCTAGCAGCTCGTGTGGGAGCACCCTAGGGGTCCCCCAGCACCCTCTCCACCCTTCTCTCCTCACACTCCTCCTCCTCCTCCTCCTCCTCCTCCTCCTCCTCCTCCTCCTCCTCCTCCTCCTCCTCCTCCTCCTCCTCCTCCTCCTCCTCCTCCCCTTCTCCTTCCTTTTCCTCCCTTCTCTCATCTCATCCTCCTTCCCTCTCCTTCTCTCTCTCCCCCTAACCGTTTCCGTTGCCCACCCACACTGCTGCATGGCTAGTAACACCAACAATGCACAATGCACAATGCACAATGCACAATGCACAATGCACAATGCACAATGCACAATGCACAATGCACAATGCACTCCCCCCATCATCAGCGCATTCCATTCCCTTCCCTCTCTTCCCGCCACCCCTCTTGCTATGAAACACCAATGTGGCGCCATTGTGTCAGTACATGTCAAACTGACATTCCCTTCCCTCTTCCTGCTACACACCTGTTCCTGTTCCCTGCCCTCGTGCCCGCGTGGCAATGCGTGCCAGGTGATCTTTGGAGTGTTCTGCCTCTGTGCCGGGTGTGGGGAGCCTCTCTCACAGACCGCCCAGTCCTTCCTGCCAAGGCTCTGCGTCGGTGTCAACAGGAACATGCAAAAGGTGAGGTGTGCGCTCTCCTCCTCTCGTGCACAAGGTAAGTTGTGCGCTCTCCTCCTCTCGTGCACAAGGAAAGGTGTGCGCTCTCCTCCTCTCGTGCACAAGGAAAGGTGTGCGCTCTCCTCCTCTCGTGCACAAGGTAACGTGTGCGCTCTCCTCCTCTCGTGCACAAGGTAAGGTGTGTGCTCTCCTCTTCTCGTGCACAAGGTAAGGTGTGCGCTCTCCTCCTCTCGTGCACAAGGAAAGGTGTGTGCTCTCCCTTTCTCGTGCACAAGGTAAGGTGTGCGCTCTCCTCCTCTCGTGCACAAGGAAAGGTGTGCGCTCTCCTCCTCTCGTGCACAAGGTAAGGTGTGCGCTCTCCTCCTCTCGTGCACAAGGTAAGGTGTGCGCTCTCCTCCTCTCGTGCACAAGGTAAGGTGTGCGCTCTCCTCCTCTCGTGCACCAGGAAAGGTGTGCGCTCTCCTCCTCTCGTGCACAAGGTAAGGTGTGCGCTCTCCTCCTCTCGTGCACAAGGTAAGGTGTGCGCTCTCCTCCTCTCGTGCACAAGGTAAGGTGTGCGCTCTCCTCCTCTCGTGCACAAGGTAAGGTGTGCGCTCTCCTCCTCTCGTGCACAAGGTAAGGTGTGCGCTCTCCTCCTCTCGTGCACATTGAAGGTGTGCGCTCTCCTCCTCTCGTGCACAAGGTAAGGTGTGCGCTCTCCTCCTCTCGTGCACAAGGTAAGGTGTGCGCTCTCCTCCTCTCGTGCACATTGAAGGTGTGCGCTCTCCTCCTCTCGTGCACAAGGTAAGGTGTGCGCTCTCCTCCTCTCGTGCACATTGAAGGTGTGCGCTCTCCTCCTCTCGTGCACAAGGTAAGGTGTGCGCTCTCCTCCTCTCGTGCACAAGGTAAGGTGTGCGCTCTCCTCCTCTCGTGCACATTGAAGGTGTGCGCTCTCCTCCTCTCGTGCACAAGGTAAGGTGTGCGCTCTCCTCCTCTCGTGCACAAGGTAAGGTGTGCGCTCTCCTCCTCTCGTGCACATTGAAGGTGTGCGCTCTCCTCCTCTCGTGCACAAGGTAAGGTGTGCGCTCTCCTCCTCTCGTGCACAAGGTAAGGTGTGCGCTCTCCTCCTCTCGTGCACATTGAAGGTGTGCGCTCTCCTCCTCTCGTGCACAAGGTAAGGTGTGCGCTCTCCTCCTCTCGTGCACATTGAAGGTGTGCGCTCTCCTCCTCTCGTGCACAAGGTAAGGTGTGCGCTCTCCTCCTCTCGTGCACAAGGTAAGGTGTGCGCTCTCCTCCTCTCGTGCACATTGAAGGTGTGCGCTCTCCTCCTCTCGTGCACAAGGTAAGGTGTGTGCTCTCCTCTTCTCGTGCACAAGGTAAGGTGTGCGCTCTCCTCCTCTCGTGCACAAGGAAAGGTGTGTGCTCTCCCTTTCTCGTGCACAAGGTAAGGTGTGCGCTCTCCTCCTCTCGTGCACAAGGAAAGGTGTGCGCTCTCCTCCTCTCGTGCACAAGGTAAGGTGTGCGCTCTCCTCCTCTCGTGCACAAGGTAAGGTGTGCGCTCTCCTCCTCTCGTGCACAAGGTAAGGTGTGCGCTCTCCTCCTCTCGTGCACCAGGAAAGGTGTGCGCTCTCCTCCTCTCGTGCACAAGGTAAGGTGTGCGCTCTCCTCCTCTCGTGCACAAGGTAAGGTGTGCGCTCTCCTCCTCTCGTGCACAAGGTAAGGTGTGCGCTCTCCTCCTCTCGTGCACAAGGTAAGGTGTGCGCTCTCCTCCTCTCGTGCACAAGGTAAGGTGTGCGCTCTCCTCCTCTCGTGCACAAGGTAAGGTGTGCGCTCTCCTCCTCTCGTGCACATTGAAGGTGTGCGCTCTCCTCCTCTCGTGCACAAGGTAAGGTGTGCGCTCTCCTCCTCTCGTGCACAAGGTAAGGTGTGCGCTCTCCTCCTCTCGTGCACATCTCTCCTCCTCTCGTGCACAAGGTAAGGTGTGCGCTCTCCTCCTCTCGTGCACAAGGTAAGGTGTGCGCTCTCCTCCTCTCGTGCACATGAAGGTGTGCGCTCTCCTCCTCTCGTGCACAAGGTAAGGTGTGCGCTCTCCTCCTCTCGTGCACAAGGTAAGGTGTGCGCTCTCCTCCTCTCGTGCACAAGGTAAGGTGTGCGCTCTCCTCCTCTCGTGCACAAGGTAAGGTGTGCGCTCTCCTCCTCTCGTGCACATTGAAGGTGTGCGCTCTCCTCCTCTCGTGCACATAAGGTGTGCGCTCTCCTCCTCTCGTGCACAAGGTAAGGTGTGCGCTCTCCTCCTCTCGTGCACAAGGTAAGGTGTGCGCTCTCCTCCTCTCGTGCACATGAAGGTGTGCGCTCTCCTCCTCTCGTGCACAAGGTAAGGTGTGCGCTCTCCTCCTCTCGTGCACAAGGTAAGGTGTGCGCTCTCCTCCTCTCGTGCACAAGGTAAGGTGTGCGCTCTCCTCCTCTCGTGCACATGAAGGTGTGCGCTCTCCTCCTCTCGTGCACAAGGTAAGGTGTGCGCTCTCCTCCTCTCGTGCACAAGGTAAGGTGTGCGCTCTCCTCCTCTCGTGCACATTGAAGGTGTGCGCTCTCCTCCTCTCGTGCACAAGGTAAGGTGTGCGCTCTCCTCCTCTCGTGCACAAGGTAAGGTGTGCGCTCTCCTCCTCTCGTGCACAAGGTAAGGTGTGCGCTCTCCTCCTCTCGTGCACATTGAAGGTGTGCGCTCTCCTCCTCTCGTGCACAAGGTAAGGTGTGCGCTCTCCTCCTCTCGTGCACAAGGTAAGGTGTGCGCTCTCCTCCTCTCGTGCACAAGGTAAGGTGTGCGCTCTCCTCCTCTCGTGCACAAGGTAAGGTGTGCGCTCTCCTCCTCTCGTGCACATTGAAGGTGTGCGCTCTCCTCCTCTCGTGCACAAGGTAAGGTGTGCGCTCTCCTCCTCTCGTGCACAAGGTAAGGTGTGCGCTCTCCTCCTCTCGTGCACAAGTCCCTCCCGGACAGGTAGGTGTGCGCTCTCCTCCTCTCGTGCACAAGGTAAGGTGTGCGCTCTCCTCCTCTCGTGCACATTGAAGGTGTGCGCTCTCCTCCTCTCGTGCACAAGGTAAGGTGTGCGCTCTCCTCCTCTCGTGCACAAGGTAAGGTGTGCGCTCTCCTCCTCTCGTGCACATTGAAGTGTGCGCTCTCCTCCTCTCGTGCACAAGGTAAGGTGTGCGCTCTCCTCCTCTCGTGCACAAGGTAAGGTGTGCGCTCTCCTCCTCTCGTGCACATGAAGGTGTGCGCTCTCCTCCTCTCGTGCACAAGGTAAGGTGTGCGCTCTCCTCCTCTCGTGCACAGAAGGTGTGCGCTCTCCTCCTCTCGTGCACAAGGTAAGGTGTGCGCTCTCCTCCTCTCGTGCACAAGGTAAGGTGTGCGCTCTCCTCCTCTCGTGCACATTGAAGGTGTGCGCTCTCCTCCTCTCGTGCACAAGGTAAGGTGTGCGCTCTCCTCCTCTCGTGCACAAGGTAAGGTGTGCGCTCTCCTCCTCTCGTGCCATAAGGTGTGCGCTCTCCTCCTCTCGTGCACAAGGTAAGGTGTGCGCTCTCCTCCTCTCGTGCACAAGGTAAGGTGTGCGCTCTCCTCCTCTCGTGCACAAGGAAAGGTGTGCGCTCTCCTCCTCTCGTGCACAAGGTAAGGTGTGCGCTCTCCTCCTCTCGTGCACAAGGTAAGGTGTGCGCTCTCCTCCTCTCGTGCACAAGGTAAGGTGTGCGCTCTCCTCCTCTCGTGCACAAGGTAAGGTGTGCGCTCTCCTCCTCTCGTGCACAAGGTAAGGTGTGCGCTCTCCTCCTCTCGTGCACAAGGTAAGGTGTGCGCTCTCCTCCTCTCGTGCACATTGAAGGTGTGCGCTCTCCTCCTCTCGTGCACAAGGTAAGGTGTGCGCTCTCCTCCTCTCGTGCACAAGGTAAGGTGTGCGCTCTCCTCCTCTCGTGCACATTGAAGGTGTGCGCTCTCCTCCTCTCGTGCACAAGGTAAGGTGTGCGCTCTCCTCCTCTCGTGCACAAGGTAAGGTGTGCGCTCTCCTCCTCTCGTGCACATTGAAGGTGTGCGCTCTCCTCCTCTCGTGCACAAGGTAAGGTGTGCGCTCTCCTCCTCTCGTGCACAAGGTAAGGTGTGCGCTCTCCTCCTCTCGTGCACATTGAAGGTGTGCGCTCTCCTCCTCTCGTGCACAAGGTAAGGTGTGCGCTCTCCTCCTCTCGTGCACAAGGTAAGGTGTGCGCTCTCCTCCTCTCGTGCACATTGAAGGTGTGCGCTCTCCTCCTCTCGTGCACAAGGTAAGGTGTGCGCTCTCCTCCTCTCGTGCACAAGGTAAGGTGTGCGCTCTCCTCCTCTCGTGCACATTGAAGGTGTGCGCTCTCCTCCTCTCGTGCACAAGGTAAGGTGTGCGCTCTCCTCCTCTCGTGCACAAGGTAAGGTGTGCGCTCTCCTCCTCTCGTGCACATTGAAGGTGTGCGCTCTCCCCTCTCGTGCCGCCTCTCCTCCTCTCGTGCACAAGGTAAGGTGTGCGCTCTCCTCCTCTCGTGCACAAGGTAAGGTGTGCGCTCTCCTCCTCTCGTGCACAAGGTAAGGTGTGCGCTCTCCTCCTCTCGTGCACATTGAAGGTGTGCGCTCTCCTCCTCTCGTGCACAAGGTAAGGTGTGCGCTCTCCTCCTCTCGTGCACAAGGTAAGGTGTGCGCTCTCCTCCTCTCGTGCACATTGAAGGTGTGCGCTCTCCTCCTCTCGTGCACAAGGTAAGGTGTGCGCTCTCCTCCTCTCGTGCACATTGAAGGTGTGCGCTCTCCTCCTCTCGTGCACAAGGTAAGGTGTGCGCTCTCCTCCTCTCGTGCACAAGGTAAGGTGTGCGCTCTCCTCCTCTCGTGCACATTGAAGGTGTGCGCTCTCCTCCTCTCGTGCACAAGGTAAGGTGTGTGCTCTCCTCTTCTCGTGCACAAGGTAAGGTGTGCGCTCTCCTCCTCTCGTGCACAAGGAAAGGTGTGTGCTCTCCCTTTCTCGTGCACAAGGTAAGGTGTGCGCTCTCCTCCTCTCGTGCACAAGGAAAGGTGTGCGCTCTCCTCCTCTCGTGCACAAGGTAAGGTGTGCGCTCTCCTCCTCTCGTGCACAAGGTAAGGTGTGCGCTCTCCTCCTCTCGTGCACAAGGTAAGGTGTGCGCTCTCCTCCTCTCGTGCACCAGGAAAGGTGTGCGCTCTCCTCCTCTCGTGCACAAGGTAAGGTGTGCGCTCTCCTCCTCTCGTGCACAAGGTAAGGTGTGCGCTCTCCTCCTCTCGTGCACAAGGTAAGGTGTGCGCTCTCCTCCTCTCGTGCACAAGGTAAGGTGTGCGCTCTCCTCCTCTCGTGCACAAGGTAAGGTGTGCGCTCTCCTCCTCTCGTGCACAAGGTAAGGTGTGCGCTCTCCTCCTCTCGTGCACATTGAAGGTGTGCGCTCTCCTCCTCTCGTGCACAAGGTAAGGTGTGCGCTCTCCTCCTCTCGTGCACAAGGTAAGGTGTGCGCTCTCCTCCTCTCGTGCACATTGAAGGTGTGCGCTCTCCTCCTCTCGTGCACAAGGTAAGGTGTGCGCTCTCCTCCTCTCGTGCACAAGGTAAGGTGTGCGCTCTCCTCCTCTCGTGCACATTGAAGGTGTGCGCTCTCCTCCTCTCGTGCACAAGGTAAGGTGTGCGCTCTCCTCCTCTCGTGCACAAGGTAAGGTGTGCGCTCTCCTCCTCTCGTGCACATTGAAGGTGTGCGCTCTCCTCCTCTCGTGCACAAGGTAAGGTGTGCGCTCTCCTCCTCTCGTGCACAAGGTAAGGTGTGCGCTCTCCTCCTCTCGTGCACATTGAAGGTGTGCGCTCTCCTCCTCTCGTGCACAAGGTAAGGTGTGCGCTCTCCTCCTCTCGTGCACAAGGTAAGGTGTGCGCTCTCCTCCTCTCGTGCACATTGAAGGTGTGCGCTCTCCTCCTCTCGTGCACATTGAAGGTGTGCGCTCTCCTCCTCTCGTGCACAAGGTAAGGTGTGCGCTCTCCTCCTCTCGTGCACAAGGTAAGGTGTGCGCTCTCCTCCTCTCGTGCACATTGAAGGTGTGCGCTCTCCTCCTCTCGTGCACAAGGTAAGGTGTGCGCTCTCCTCCTCTCGTGCACAAGGTAAGGTGTGCGCTCTCCTCCTCTCGTGCACATTGAAGGTGTGCACTCTCCTCCTCTCGTGCACAAGGTAAGGTGTGCGCTCTCCTCCTCTCGTGCACAAGGTAAGGTGTGCGCTCTCCTCCTCTCGTGCACATTGAAGGTGTGCGCTCTCCTCCTCTCGTGCACAAGGTAAGGTGTGCGCTCTCCTCCTCTCGTGCACAAGGTAAGGTGTGCGCTCTCCTCCTCTCGTGCACATTGAAGGTGTGCGCTCTCCTCCTCTCGTGCACAAGGTAAGGTGTGCGCTCTCCTCCTCTCGTGCACAAGGTAAGGTGTGCGCTCTCCTCCTCTCGTGCACATTGAAGGTGTGCGCTCTCCTCCTCTCGTGCACAAGGTAAGGTGTGCGCTCTCCTCAGGCTCTGTGTCAGTGCCCAAAAACAAATGCACCAGCTGGCTGCTCTCATGCTCGAGGCCGCTCTCCTTGATGCGTACAAGGTGTGACCTCTCCTCTCGTGCACAAGGAGCATGTTCTCCCTGCTCAATCGGATCTCACCTCTTGTCATGTCAAACCGTCCACAGTGTCCACTGTCCGTACTGTACCCCCTCAGAATCATTCCTCTGTCTCTCCCATCCCCTCCCACTGTTCCGCCCATTGCTGCTCCCGCCCCTGTCTCCTGTTCCTCTCTTCGCATCCCTCCTACCCTCCCCTCGCCTCCCGCCCCACCACCAACCGCAGGCGCGTCGTCTGCTGCTGGCGCTGACCCTTGTAGCGGCGCTGCTCGGCGCCGTAGAGGCTGCCGCCGCCCTCCTCATCTCGCTGTGCATGCCTTCCCTCTTCACTGCCGACCCTGCTGTCGTCGCTCAGGTGATTCCTCAGGTGGTAACACAGGTGATATTTCCGGTGATAAATCAGGTGGTATCTCATAGATCAGGTGGTTTCAGGATGCCTTCTAGACTGGTATCGAATATTATGGGGGCCATAGGGGTCCGCATGGGCCACATGACCATGCATGGACCCGACTGGCTGTGACCACAATTTCACCTCCCAGGGCGATAACGGCATCCTGTGATGTGTTGGTTTTTTAGAATCACTTGGTTGGTAAAATCAGTTGATTTTTTTCTCTTTTTTAGTTTTTTTTTTTCAGTTGGTTCTTTAGTTTAGTTTTGTAAAATAATCAGTTGGTTTGCTGGAAGCAATTGGCTCCTCACCTCCTCCCCGCCTCCCTCCCCCACATGTTCCCTTTGTTTGACCCCAGATGGGATGCAAGAGTCTTCATCTCAGTCCCAATTCCCAATGCCTATCCCACCCTCCCTGCCGCCCCTAGTTGCACAATGCAAAAAAACCCTGTTTTCTCCTTTCTCCTTTCTCCTCTCCCCTTTCTCCTTTCCCCTTTCTCCTTTCCCCTTTCTCCTTTCCCCTTTCTCCTCTCCCCTTTCTCCTTTCCCCTTTCCCCCTCCTCCCCTCTTTTACCCCTTTCTGCTCCCTCCTCCCCTTCCCTCCTGTCCACCTTTCACCTCCTCCCCCCCCCCCAACCAGATTGTGCGCATATCCCCTGCCCTGGCTGTGAGCCTGGTACTCAACCCCATCGTGCTTTCCTCTGAAGGCGCCCTGCTGGTACGCACGTTATGATACAATTCTAGTTTTGAGCCACCTCAAAAACAGATCAAGCGCATAGCGCCGGCGCTGGCTGTGAGCCTGGTGCTCAACCCCATCGTGCTTTTCTCTGAGGGCGCCCTGCTGGTACGCCCCTCCGTCTGTGCCTGCAGCTAGGACTGCTAGTCTGGCTGCTGCTAGTTGTTGTTGATATGGCAGGTGTTCTGGCAGGTGCTATGACTGCTGTAGGCTTCTGCTGTCTCTGTGCTGTTGACGCTTAGCTTTCCTGTCCCTGTGGTACTGACGCTTAGCTTTCCTGTCCCTGTGTAACCACACTAAAGCAGCAGCAACAGCAGCAGACGTGCGTATCTTGGTTCATTCTCCCCCTCTTTCTCTCCATGCTCTTAACACTTGTTCCACCATCACCATCACCATCACCACCACCATCACCACCACCATCACCACCACCATCATCACCACCACCATCACCATCACCAGGCGAGCAGGGATGTGGCGTACATGGCATCAACCATGACTGTCGCCATGCTCATAGGAGCACTACTGCTCAGGGTGAAGTCCACGCATCTAATCGCCCCATCACATCCCCACACCAACACCAACGCACCCATATTTCTCATTGTTTCATTTCCAATCTTCAAGCAAAACCGTTTGCTATCTCTTATTTTCAGTCACCCCTCTCCAATCCACCTAGACCTTCCTTTCTTGGCTTCTCAACATCCCATCACATATCCAGCTTACCATCCCCTTCATCTCGCCCTTCTTCGTCACCCCTCTGCCCCCTATGGGCCACCGTTGAGCATCCCTAAAGTGCCGTGCTCTCCCTTGCGCCTGGCCGCTTCTCACTCTATCACCCTCCCTTCCATGGCAGGCGGCGCAGCACTGGGGCCTCAGTCTCGCTGGCAACTGGTGGATCCTCGTGCTCTTCAATTCAGTACGCAACAACACACTGTTCCACTCTTTTTTCCTCTTTTTTTGGTCCCCTCCCCCCCCTCCTTCCTCCCCCCCCCCCGCCCTTATTCTGCATACTTCCCTCTTCCTAGGTAGTTATTATGTTAAAGGGGCTCTCACTCCTCCCCTCAACCCCACACTTCCTTCATACCCCCTCCCCCAACCTCCCCCCTCCCTCCCCCTCCCCCACAACTCCCCGTAGCACTTTTTAAACGTTTCCTGCCATCACATTCTGTTGCTTTCATCACTTCTCTCTCATTTATTTCTGGCTGTGCATCTCAGATGCGGCTTACAGCGGCTGCCATGCGTCTTACTTCTCGACAGGGGATATTTTCTAAAGGAGGGTTACCCCAGCCAATGCATGCATGAATGCAATGCCAACCTTGAGTGGCTGGAGCCTAGTGTTGATAATGCCACTATTGTCTTTCAATGTTTTGTTTTGTGTAATTGCTTGGTGGTTTTGTTTACCATCTATTGTTTTGTGTCTCACTCATATGTAGCCTGCGTTGTTTTAATCAAGAATGATCGCATGCATTTTGCCAGATTTGGCAATTTAAAGAAGATTCCAAAATATTATATTTTTATGTAGTACAACATTCCTCCCGTGAACAATATTCTGTATAGTGACTACTTCTATACTGTAGTATTTTCTGTAGTTTTTTTCCTGAGTCTCCAGCTCGTGAGTTTCTTTGTCCAGTACTGAAGGCTTGCAGCTCGTGATTGGGCAAGCTCGCCTGGGCAGCACTGCTGTCCCGGAGCGCAGAATCTCTTTCATCAGTGGCTGGAACCCAGAATCACTCTCATCAGGACAGCCGAAGCAAAAGTGCCATGCGTCACTCGCAACGTCAAAGTCTGGACCTGGTACAGTGCTTATGGAAACCTCTAAAAGATGTTCTCTGCTAAGCGTTTGAAGCACAAACTCTTTTGCTGTACTTGCATCTCCAACATGTACCAATACATTCTCGGGAGGCTGGCTCGTTTGACCCGGGGCGCGCTTCTTCAACTCTCATAGTCTTACAGTAATCTCATACTCTACTCGAAAATCTGGGAATTCTGGACAGTGGACTTGACCGGACACGCTAAGTGATAGTGTGGCTTGGGTAGGGAGGTGAATTGAGACCTGGCACCCATTCGGAAAGGGCGAATATGAACTCCCAATTCCAGCATGGCAAGGTGCCCATCTCCTTCTGCCTGTTGAATGGGCGGTTCGGCGAGGCAGATGCCAGCGCTGGCAGGAATTTATCTGGCCCCTCGAATCTCTTCGCCCATTTGCGCACATCGCATCTGCCTCCGTCCTTCTTTTGGAATTCTCCATCACATGGCATCTGTTCATTTCAAATCTCGTATCACAGGAATTGTGTTTCCATTCCAACACGTTCACACACTTACGGCCCAGTAGCCAGTGGCTCCCTCCAGCGATAACATCTGCCAGCGCACCAGTCACGCTACAAATGCATACCACCTCCACCTTTCCAAGCCCTTCTCAAGCTCAGCGAACTTGCTGCATTTGCGACAGCTGTCCTACAGCACCGCTGCTGCGCGCATCGCATTCCCTCCCCGTTTCCCTCAACTCCTCTCCGTCTCAAAAACCATTCTTCCCCGCTGGTCGTTCTGCAACCGCAGCTCGTACCAGCAGCAGCTCTCTCAAAGAAGAACCCGCGTGGTGCCGCGCCGCCATCGTCATGGCCTCCTCGCACGTGCTCGTGTTTCTCCCGGACGGCTCCATCCGCCTCTTCGACGAGCCGCTGCTCATCGCGCGCGACGTGCTTCGCGAGTTCCCCCACCACGACCTCTTCGTCTCGCCCGCGCCGACCGCCGCCGGCGACAATTGCCACCGCGACCGCGACCGTAGTAACCGTAACCGTAACCGCGATCGCGAACACGGCGACAACGACGTCCGTAGCACTGCTTCCGCCTCCGCTACTACCTCCCGGCGGAGCGAAGTAGTATCCTCCGCGACCACTGGCGGTGGCGGCAGTGGCATCAGCGCCGCCACCGTAGACGCGGTGAGCGCAGGAGCAGGAGGCGGCGCCGAGTGCTTCGACCCCATCAACCCGCACCGTTGTCTGTCCTCTAGCGCCATGTACTACCTCATGCCGCGCCGCGATTACGCCTGGAAGCTCCAGCTGCAAAAGGCCGCGGAAGCCGCCACCGACGCCGCGGGGACGTCGAAGGAGGACTTCGGCGGCATCCGGAATCTCAACGACGGTCCGAGTCAGCATCATCATCACCAGCGTCACTGCCAATGGAACGGCGGCGCGCCGCCGCCGCCGGTGAAGTACTGCTTTCGCGAGTCGTCTGGCGACAGGTCGCCGGCGCCGTCAGAAGGCTCCGCGTCCGCGGCGTCCGCCGAGACGGCATCGTCGCACGAAGGTGACTCCGAGTTGCCGCCTCAGCACGTATTATTCGCCGACGGGTCTCCTACTACTTCGATTAGGAGCCGCGCGTCGCCGTCGACGGTTCTTCATAAGACGAATACTATTGCTACTACTGCGTCGACTGCTACCAGCAACCCGAATTATGACGAGAGTACGTTAGTCAACCTGGGCTCCTCGGGAAGCATCTCCTCAGGAGGCTCCTGGTCCACCCTGGATCCGTCGTCCATTGTCGATCCGTCGGCCGCCATGGATCCGTCAACGGGCGACCCGCTTCTCCGGAGCAAGACCATGGGCGGCGTGCGGCCGTCCACGTCCGCGTCGCCGCCGCTGAGCCGCCTCGTGCATCACTACGCGTCCTCGTTCCACAACGGCTCGTCCCCTCCACCCGCCGTGTCGGAACCACCGCCGGCGGCGTTCCGCACTAGGAGCAACCCGACCAGTACTACTAGCACCACTAGCAACTCTAGCAGTAGCTCGATCCGGATTGACCCGACAGACCCGATTGACCGGATTGACCTCCTGGAAAGTGGCAGAGGGCTTCACGGAGAGGAGCTGTATGACGTGCATCAACCGGCGGCGGTAGCGGCGGAGGCGTTTCCGGCGGCGCGGCAGCTTCAGCTCGTGGACGAGGAAGCGGCGACGGGAAAGGGAACGGGAACGGGAACGCAGGACCTGGCCGGGAGGGGGTTTCACACCGTTCATGATGAGTCGGGAGCGGACCTGATGCTGATGCAGCAGCAGCGGTCCATGCTGCACCACCAGAAGCAGCAGCAGCAGCAGCAGCAGCAGCAGCAGCAGCAGCAGCAGCAGCAGCCGCAGCAGCGGGTAGGGGTGGGCGTGACGGCGAAAGCAAGGCCGTCGGCGGTGGGGCCTGCGCTGGAACGCGAGGAGCTGGCTCGGCAGTTGAAGCTGCTGCACGTGGTGGACCCCCTCGCGCACCTCGAGGGTCTCGCCATGTCCGCCTCTGGCCCTGACGCGCCGGTCGCTGCTGCTGCTGGTGGGGTTGTTAGTGCTGGTGGTTGTGGTGGTGGTGGTGCGGTGGCTGGTGCTGTGAAGCACGGATCGTGGCCGTCACCTCGATCTGGAGCACGCACCCAGCATCATCACTCGGGCGAGGTATGAAACCCCACCCCACACGGCCGTGACTCGTGTGCTTGGGTACTGTATGTACTGGTTTTCTTCGTGCTCTCTTATTCACTCTTCCTCCCCTCTCTTTTCTCGTTGCCCTTGCAATCTCCCGCCTAACGTTTGTTACCCGCCCACCACTGCCTGTGTTTGGTTTGATATGGCTCCTTCCTGCAGCTCAACTGCCACGAAGCTTCGGTCAACGCCCCGCGTGATGCGCCTGCATCATCAAGCAACCAGCACCCACAGCACCAGCAGAACCATAACGTATATTGCCACCCACGTAACCTGTCTTCCGGGCAGAACACCATTGGTCCAGCGCGGCCTTACACGTCTGCAGACAAGCACCACAGCCACCAGCACCAGCAGCACCAGCAGCAGCAGCAGCAGCAGCAGCACCACCACCACCACCAGCACCACCAGCACTACCAGCACCAGCAGCAGCAGCAGCAGCGCCATCACCATCTCCAGCAGCCGGCTCCCCACACCCCAACGCACAGTTCGATCGGCAAGAAGCTGCTGCGGCTGATGACACTGCCGGGCGTGCGCACCTCAGGCTCAACAAGCCACTCCACCCAGGGCTCGAGGGACAGCCCACAGCGCCGGTTCGCAGGTGTGGAGGCCGCGGCTGCTGCCGCCGCTGCAGCGGCCAAGGCTGGGCGGGGGGGGGGGTTGTCGGCGGCGACGCACCTGCATCCGCAAGGGCAGTCGCATCCGCAGCTCGTGGAAGTGGGTCCATCCAAGTCTACGTCATCGGATGATGGCATGACTTACATCATCTGAGTCTCCTCGGAGGTTCTGACTCGGAGGTTCTGACTCGGAGGTTCTGACTCGGAGGTTCTGACTCGGAGGTTCTGACTCGGAGGTTCTGACTCGGAGGTTCTGACTCGGAGGTTCTGACTCGGAGGTTCTGACTCGGAGGTTCTGACTCGGAGGTTCTGACTCGGAGGTTCTGACTCGGAGGTTCTGACTCGGAGGTTCTGACTCGGAGGTTCTGACTCGGAGGTTCTGACTCGGAGGTTCTGACTCTGAGGTTCTGTCCTGTGCCTGTTGTAGTGATTGGCTTGGTCTCCTCCTAGCATTAGAGGAATCTCCTGTGCTGCTGCAGCAGCAGCAGCAGCATGTTTCGTGCGCCTAGCCATCCTGGAGGGCTTCCAGGATCCAGGCTAGCCTCCTATTTTGCTCTGAGGTTCTGACTCTGAGGTTCTGACTCTGAGGTTCTGACTCTGAGGATTCAGACTTGCAGTATCAGATCTTCAGCATCCTTCTGTTCGTACTACTGCCCTATTTATATTTTTGTAGGTGGCATACTGTTACCACGATTATATTTATGACCATTATGTTAGAATACGAGAATAATTAGAAACAAGGGAGAACAAGGGAGATATAGGGTTGGTGTTGTACCCTCTAAGAACACACACCTATCTAGCCTAGAACTTCTACATACAAATATATGTATAAGTTGACACACCCCCAAGGCTAGATAAGGGGCAGTGCTGAGCAAGAAACACGCAACTTAGGGTGGCACTACTAGTCCAACCTCTGAGACAGGGGTCCGAAGACCAGTCAGCAAGAGTACAAACAAGACAGGAGCAAACCATGTAGGTCCTAGCAAGTGAAAATCTACAGGAAATAGTCCAAGCTGCAAACAGTGCCGCTGATGATCTCTAGGCGCAAGCGCCTTAGTAAAGGTATCAGCTGCGTTGGCACCGGAGGCCAAGTGTACTACGCGGGCCTGACGACGCTACTGTAGCTCGCGCAGGAGGAAATACCGCAGCTAGATGTGCCTCGCTCTGCCCTCAAGTCGAGGCTTCTGACACAGGAGAATCATGGCCTTGTTGTCAGCGTACAAAACCGGGGCAGAGCTAGGCCGCTCACCTAAGTCGGTGAGCAAGAAGGTCAGCCAGCAGAGCTCCTGTGCCGCCATGGCATCGGCGTAGATCTCAACCTCACAACTAGACTAGGCAACAGACAAGGAGCGAGTGGACCTCCACGAGATGGCACCTGAACCAAGGCTAAAGCAGTAGCCCTGGGAGGACTTGAGCGTCTCAGCGTCGTCTGCCCAAGAAGCGTCTGTGTGTCCAGTAAGGACCACTAGCCTGCGTCCTCCCAGCACTAACCCCGTGCCCGATGTACTTGCTAGATAGCGCAAAACCCTCTTACCGGCCGACCAGTGCTGTGGTCGGTGTCTGCCTGTGGCCACAAAGCGAGCCATGATGCTGAGAGGGTATGCGATATCTGGGCGAGTGCAAGTCATCAGGTACTTGAGACAACCCACCAGCTCTGCGTAAGGACCACTGGGCTCTACTGAATCCTCATGAACTGGAGCAGAGAGCCTGCGGTCTACTGGCAGATGTGTGGGCTGTGCGGAGGAGAACTGAAGACCGAACCTCTAAAGGACCTGACGCACCAGGTGTGACTGCGCGCTGCTCTGTCCCTGGAGATCTGCAGGCCAAGGTAGCAGTGCAGGTCAGTGCAGGTGTGTCTCCTCAGCAGCTCGGCCTTCACGAAGGCCAGTGTGTCTCTATCTGCAATCGCGAAGATCGGGTTGTCTACGTAGACAAGGATGTAGAACGGAGTCTGACCAGAACGAACGAAGAGCGAAGGGTCTGCAGAGGACGGGAGGAACTGCAGGTCAACTAGTGTAGCACATTGTGTGTCGTGCCACTCGCGGGGCGCCTGTCGCAGGCCGTAGACCGGGCGCCGGAGGAGCCACTAGGTCCCAGGAGGGAAGATACCGGTGAAGCCCTGTGGACGGCGGAGGTAGACCTGCTCATGTAGACTGCCCTGGAGAAACGCTGTGGAGAAGTCGAGGGAGTGTAACTCGTAGTCATGTTGTGCTGCTAAGTGAAGCAGCGCCCGAAGAGTAGTCATCTTCGGGGTCGGGGCGAAGGTCTGAAAGAAGTCCACCCCCTCTTACTGACTGAAGCCTCTAGCCACGTAGCGCGCTTTGAATACAGGCGGCTCTCTAGGGTGGCGCTTCACCTTGACGAGCCACCGGCCAGCGACTACGTTTGTCCTAGGTGGGGGAACTGCGTCGGCATAGGTGCCGGGGGATCTCCAAGATGCCATCTCCTGCTCCATGGCAGCTATGTCGAAGTAGCTAGCTAGGAAGAGGGAGAAGCCATGGAAAGGCGTCAGGGTTAAGGAAGGAGAAATGTCAAGAGAAAATAGAGGGTTGATTAGGAAGAGAGAGGGATACAAGGAGGGGTTGTACCCTCTACAATAGGTTTCAGTAACACCTACCAAGCCTACAATTATATATAACCTATATAATTTAACACACCCCCTAGGCTTGGTAGTCTTAAGCCCACCCAACACCCAACACCCCCAAGCCCGTGCACCCCCCAGGTCCTGCAGCAGGAGGGGCTGCTACCCCTCCTGTGAGGCGGTGACACCCCCGGCGGATGGCAGCAACGGCATCAACGGCGGCGGTGGCGGCGGCAGCGTCGACGACGGCGGCGGCGGGACGGCGGTGGCGGCGACGGCGAAACTCGCGGCGCTCGGCGGCATGGCACGGCCTGGCGACGACCGGGAAGAGACTCAGCATCTGCGGCTGGAACTAGGGGTGGTGCAGGGGAGGTGGCGTGGCGTCAGCAAGGCGCCGTAGCTGACACGGCGTTGGCTGATGTGCGGGCGAGCTGGCGGCGCCTAAAACGTTGCGCGACCCGCTGCCACCCGATGACGCCACCACGGCAGCATGACGACGGCGCCATTGCGTGGCGTCGATGCCGCGGCGGCACGTCGATGCTGCCACGGCAGCACGACGATGTCGCCACGGCAGCGCGTCGGGGCTGCGATGGCAGCACGACGAAGCCGACATGGCAGCTCGGCATGGCCGCCACTGCGGCACGGAAGTGACAAGAGAAGGGCGAGTACGCGGCGGAAGCGTGGGGAGCAGGCCCAAGAGGGGCAACCTGCGCTGGTACCATGTGAAACTAAGGACTCTAGGCAGCCATGAAAGTAGGAGAGGGTTTAGGAAGGAGACCAAAAGTTACAAGAGGAAAGAGAGAGATATAAAGAAGAGAGAGGGATACAAGCAGGGGGTTGTACCCTCTACAGTAGGGTTCAGCAATACCTACCAAGCCTGCAATTATATATAACCTATATAATTTAACAAGCTATCCATTGAGAGGCCTAGGGTCCCGAGGTCGCCTCAGCGTAAGTGCGAGGGGTCGCGTTGTTC